CCCGGCGGGCGGTGGCGGGTGCGTGGAGGATGGGTGGACGGGTGGATGGATGAGCGGGGTCAGCGAGCAGGTGAGACCTGCCTTTCCCTCCAGCCTCAGGGAAAAACCGGGTCTCTGCCATCCGCACCACTTACACCTTTATTTCCCGTACCCCAGCCGGCCTTACAGCGAAAATCGCTGTAATAACCACTTTCGGCTTCTTTCCGACAGCGATAGGGGCAGTAATTACATAGATATTGGCTCCGAGCCTACGAAATCTGTAACAAAAAAGGCAGCTAATCTTACCGGGATCAGGATTGGGCCCACAATCCCTGATCCTCTCTTAAACATCAGTCTAAACATTGTCCATAAGAATACATGGGGCATGATTTTTTTTTTTATTAAGTGGGAAAGCACACTATCATTCATCATGACTTGAAAATTCACCCATTTTAAAAGTCAAAAAGAGGTAACTCAATAAATACAATTACTGCTAAATTTCATAAAGACAAATGATCGCGTGACTGACGCTTACTGATTTAAATAACTGTTTATCGTTTGTACAAAAGGCCAAGTGTACCAGATACTTGAAACTGCTCCTAAAGTACCATTCACACCATAACAATGCATTTTCTGCACTTATGGTAGAGTGAGTATATAACTAGATGTTAATTTGTCTTCATGTCCATTTTATATCTGCAATTTTGGTTAACCATAGCTTCTTAGAAAATGAGGTCCTCTCCTCCGAAATACACTCATAGAATTCAAGCAGCCTTGTAATAAAAATCAGAAAAGAAGTTGGTACGTCCTAACCATGCATTTTAATTCTCCGTTTGACTTATTTTTATACCGATTCTCCATATCGCTCTGTGAAAACAAAAATTCTTACATTATTTTGCGGCCTGCCACAAGATGCCTGGGGTGGAAAACAAGACCAGAGATTGAACTTCTGCTACACGACCGGCCTTTTACAAGGGTTTACATCCCCTTGTGCGGAGTTGACCACTCTGACCACTCGCTGAGCCAGCGTAACCCTTTGCTCTACGCATCAGTCTAGCAAAGATGATGGGAAGCATTAGGCTGTTCTGTATGGAAACATAAGGCTCGGCACGCTTCAGTTGGCTAACGAAAGAGTGGGATGGGGAGAAGGGGATAACTCTGTAACACACGTTGGGTGGTACGAGCGTGAAATCGGAAGGGAGATGCGTGGAAGTCATGGTTCAGCTCCAGCTGGACTGGCCTGTTGGTCTGAAATTTTACCAGCCTGGGCACTTCCACCATAGCCTCCCACCTTGGAATGAGCCTTAGGCACATAGGCAGTTTCACAGCTCTCTCCCGACATAAATCACCTCTGCAATGGCAAACTGAAAAGCGTTTTATCAACTTGAAATTCACCTGAACTTGCTCTGAGTTGAGGCCCTACAGTAACAAGAGCTAATAATTTTCCTCCAGCTTGCCAAAGGGACATCACATCCCCAAATATTCTGAAAATGTTTAATGAGTCACTTCATGCAGTTAAGAGTGAATCATAACCACCATCTTGGTATTTTGGTGTACATGCAGACAAACGGCACAGAAACTCAAAAAATTGCTAAGAGTGCACACTGGTAACATCAGAAAGCAGGGTTTATGATCTTCAAGTTGGCAAGGGCAAGAGAAAGGGTGAGGTGTACAAGGTGGCACAACACTTAAGAGAAGAGGAGATGCAATGAAGATAGAGCCGCCTTCTTCCAAGACAAGATAGGAGCAGATGAAGTATTGATACTTTAGTAAGAGAATACTGACATATCTGTCTATATGTAGGTATGCAGTTGCTTGGCAGCTTAGATGTCTCGCCAACTTAATTGTCTCTGCTTTGTGAAGCTTCAAGGACACCAGCTCTCCCATACATTTCACAGCAGTCAGCTGCCCGCTTGCGCTTGGAAAAATGACGATAATGAACAGGGGAAGTTCAAAGTGCAGCTCAACAGATCTCCAAAGTAACAGCACACTGCTAGGATACTGCTGTAATGCCCTCCACTCTCTCCTGCCTCTGCCAGATAGATGCATTGTTCAGTATTGAAATAATTCTCCAGGTCATTTATGAACAGGGGTTGGGAAAACCAAGATCACTTCTGTCATCATATAAGGGAAATGAATACTGCTCAGTGTAAGTGGCAACAAAAAATGAACAAAAAATGCCTCCCGGGGGGGGTGTGTGTGTGGCACACACAGAAAAAGAGAATGAGAAATTGTCTAACCAAAATTTGAAGTTGGTATTTCAAACTGTAATGAAATAAAAATTAAACACCCCACACAATTTCTAACAGCAATTTCTCTAGGTAGGTTAAAAACCTCACGTAGACACCACCACCCCCCCGCCCCCCAGCCCCGGCAAGCTCAGTTTAATCACTACGTAAGTGTCCATCTATGTTCTAACCTCCTTTGCATTAGAAGGGTATCAAGTTTTAAGGGAATCTAAGAACATCTCGAGTTCTCATTGTCAAATGTCAATTTACACCCCTCCTGAACTGTGCGCACCTCTATTTTCCTAGAAATCAATGTCTCTGAAGTCCTACAGTAATTTTAAAAAAGGAAGAAAACCCCAGAATAATGCAAACGTGACATCCACCCATACCAGGTCTACAAAAAGCAACCTAAGAAATACAGAATGCTTTAGGACAGTAAAGAGACAGTGGTTTTTACCAACTGAACTTCTGTCCCAACAAAAAAAGAAATATGTAACTGCTTTTCTTTTTTTGAGGGCAGGGGGAAGGAAACACAGACAAGGAGGTCTGAAATGGCACAACGGGTGATCTAATTGTGATTGGACATCCAGTAGTCCCAAAGGTGTGATTGAAAATAACCTCTCAAAGTCTAAGCCTACACAATGTTAAGTGCAGAGAACAAATGCCATTTAGCAGCAGATCAGTGATGTAGGACAAAATGCTTGACCACAGCTGCATGCATGAGAACTTAGCTTCTCGATTTTAGAGGAGGAGAGGAAACAAAAATGCATCGGTCTGTTTTGAGTATTGACTTTTAATAGCTTGTTTCTCATAAGGGAACAGGGGATGTTTTCTGTTTTAGAAATACAGGTATCTGTTGAGCTTTAAATACAGCCTGCTCCTGCCAACAGGTCATGTACATGATTTATTTAGCTTCAGTTTTTGTTTTTACGCATTAAGCAACCTTCAACCTTCTTTTGTAATACAATATATAGACAAATTTAAGTACAGTAATAGTGTAGGTATTTTACTGTCTTCACATTTTTCTTGACATACTGGACAAAGCAATACACATCAGTCTGCCCCCAAGCCCAGGTTTCATACAAAGCACGTTGAGTACTGCTTTCAAAGGCACACTCAACCTGCGCCCAGATTTAATTTGTCAAATCTACAGAATCTGGCAAATTAATATCTTTTGGGAATATCAGGAATTATTTCCAACTTTGTCCAGTGACATTCAAATGCTCAGGCAACTACTTATAACCTCCATTTTATGCCTCCTACAGATGTTGCATACCGACAGGAAAAAGAAAGTTTTAGAACTGGACAAGCTATAGTAATGCAGGTTTTGTTAGAAGAATTATATACAAAAAGGGGACTTTAGATATATAGTTTTCAATCTGTAGTTTCATTTTCCAAAATAAAACCTGTATATATAAATGGATAACATTCAAGATCTGTATATGAGTAACAGTTGCTTTCTGACTAAAACAATATATTTAGACAGAATCTCACTTTCTGTTTTTCACTTCAAGTATGCTAGCCGGTCCAGTCCTTTGGGAAAAAAATTTCCATTTTTAAATCCTTTAGGATCCATCAGATTCATTATATGGTAATGACCTTAACTTATACAATATACTATATTATGAGGTGAACTGAAGGGGATTAGATATGGAAGTATTGGTCTGAGTGCAGTAAGCCAAACAGCTGTTTAAACATGATACTACAGCTGAAATAAGTCTCTGTCAAAATAAAAACCAACATTCATGAAAACAGCAGCAGCCATCAAAAACATTCACAACTGCAGGGATTTTTTACTGTGTGTAATTTTGCATTATAAGTAGGAGAAGCCACAATAGTTTAAAGCAAAATTAAAAAAAAATACCACTATAGTCTTGAATTTAATAATGTGAATTGTCACTCTTATAGCTGTTTTATAGAAGTGTACTAAAAAAATTTACTTAAACATATGAATTTAAGACTTTCACTTTATTCAGCAAATTGGTTTATTTACACAATGGGGAACGCTGGTTGAATGCTGTCAATGTAATAAAAACAAATCTAACAGAGACAATACTGAACTCTCTCTATGTATTCATAGCAGAAATGACAAACTATTTCCTTACCTGTATCAGGAACATCAAGCGCAACAATGGGACAGTATCACAGGACATTGATTTAACAATAAACCACAGAGGTCCAGTAATACTATGGCAATTTACTCATGTATTTACTGACTTAAAAAAAAAAAAAAATTAAAAGTCAGCAATACCCAGTATAAAGTTCTGTCAATTATCAGAGTGAAACTCTGATGAGTAGGTCAGTAAAACCTTATCAGATTATCCACAATTCATGAAGTGACCTGATCTGCTTCAGACCACCAATACAGAAACAAAATTGATGAGAACAGATTACCCTCTAAAAGGCAACAATGATCTGATAAGGGTTTAACTTAATGGAAGTTTAAAAAAAAAAATTAGGAATTGCAGAGCACAGCCCCTATTAGAACAAGCTAACTTTCCAGACTTTCAAAAAAGACAAAAAAAAAAAAAAAAAAAAAAAAAAAAAAAAAAAAAAAAAAAATTAAAAAAAAAAACCACTTCAACATGAAGCTACCATACAAAGTTTTTTTTTTTTGTTTTTTCTCTTTTGTTGTTAATTTTTTGTTTGTTTCTTTTTTTTTTTTTTTCCTTTAAGAGTTCAGAGTTGCAATTTAATCCTGGCTTTTTAGTGAGAAGGACAGTTTTGGCCTAGACTTTCCTTTGCCCAGGATAATTTTTTGCTCTTCCTTTTGCTGACGTTGTCTCTCTTGTTCTAGTTTCATCCTCTCCTCATGAATCTTTCTTTGTTCTTCAACAATTTTCAATTGTTCTTCAGCCTATATATGAAAATGGTAGAATTTAGGCCAGCATATTTTGTAGTCATAAAAGCAATTTACAAGTCCATATTAACTTCCAAACAGGTCCAATCCTGCATAGGTATGCAAGCACTTCTACCTGAGCTAGATGCCATAGTAGGTTTCAGTGAAACTACTTATAAAATGGTTATTTGAACTGAGTTTAGAAGAAACACTGAAAACTTTCTACAGTTAATGTATTGAAATCTTGAGTGCTTACATGCAGCATTTTTCAGTACTACTTTGCAAACACCACATTACTTGTTAATTAAGGAAGTCACTGTCTATATAGATAAATTCCCCTGACACCTGTCATGTGTCAGATATACACATAATATAATGAATACGTACAATATAATGAAGTAACAGACCTTCACACAGGTGTTCCAACTCCAAAACTCATCTAAATCCCCCTCCTAATTCAAAATCCTCTTTACTTGATTTATAACAAGTCAATCCTTAGGCTGACTTAGGGTTCTTACAGCTCTTCCAGTGGTCTTCTAACGGCGCTTGTTTTGTTCATTACATCAGTTAACACTTTAAATTTTCTATTTGTCACATTTCCACCATATTTACACGAAAGGGTAAAACAGAAAGAGATCTAAAGGAGATGTAGTTCAAGCAAACAGTTTTAAGAAGTGTCATATTTACCTGGAAAAGGTGTAATTACTCGAGTAATTGAAATCGACAGAGTTCAATCAGGATTCAGAAGCACTTAGTTTGGCTTATTAATTGATTAGAATCAGCTAAATCATATTGAATGTTCTCACAAGGCAGGCACCTGCTTAAATAGGCTTGGAGACCAACATAAGCTAGACTTTCATAACTTAGACATCTTAAGCTTATGCTGAAAGTCCCTTTCAGCACTTGTACATCACCATTATACTAGTCTCAAATCCAGTTCGTACTTGTCCTTCTCAACAAATTAGTCACTTTTGCTCTAGAAACCAAACGTTTGCAAACTTACTTCAGCCTTCCCTGTGAGATATAGTTACAAATGTACTTTTTAAATTCTGAAGGCAACTATCTTCCTCTAAATTAACTGCACCTGAACTATTTTTTCAGACTAGCATTACTGCTAAGGATCTGGTCTCTTATGCTCAAGTGAAGGAGAGCAATGCTACTGACATAACCGGCAACAGACAAGTTAAACTCTAGAAACGGTCAATTTGTTTATTTTAATTGTGTTGCAAATCAGGCAGAGGGACCTGTATTCCCCTACAGAACGGTTAACTACATCTTCACATACCAGTTTAGCTTGTGCTTCTGCAATTTTTCGATTATTCTCTTCTAGTATTCGCTCTAGTTCCTCACGCTTTGCACGCTCTTCTTCCTAAAGGGGAGGACAGGGCAAGATGTTAGTAAAGTAAAATATTCATTTCTGCATGTTCACTAATCTTTCTCAGAATTCTTTTGTGAACTGACTTAAAGTGGCAGCTTTACAGCCACCTATTTTGTCTCACAACGGTAAATTGTGCAGCCACTAAAACTGGTTTCTAGTACTCAATTTAAATCATCCCGCCCAGTCCAAACAGCAACCAACTAAACCCTCCCTAATCGTAGAATCCTGACAATTTATTACTAGAATTTTAATATCACACAAATCAACAAGGACAACTACAAAAACTGGATAGTATTTACCAAATTAAAAAGTAATATAGAAAATATAAATAAAGTGAATAGTTTGTCTCACCAATTAAGTATACCTACGTATTCTTTACCTATACTCCTTTAATCAGCATTAAAAGTTGAATATTTACTGTCTTGTCCAGTGTCCTGCAGAGTGTGCTCCTCGGCTGCCATACGCGCCAGCTTCCTCTTTAAAATGATTTGTACTGTTAGCTTGGCAATACCTGCATCAGCAGCTCAACCATTTATAAAGAAACAACATACAAGGAAGGCTGAGCTGAGGAATGCAGATGTTTATGATAAGAAGGAACAAAAATATGTAAATCATTCCTAAGGCAAACAATTAATAAGAAAAATACATTTACTGTTAGTGAAAAATACAAATGGTAATCCATACTTCATGGAGCTATGGGCTTCTTTCATGGGGAGAATGGACTTAACATTCAATATTTTGACAATTTTAAGACAGGTGAAACTGTCATTTGCAGTCTGAACTTGGAATTCAGGAGTCCAGGGAAGGCAAGATCAGGACATAAAGCCTTGTAATTGTTGTTTTCTTGGTGGATTTTATGGAACTCTGTTATGCAACTCAAATATGAAGACTGCGTGATAGTTTTTGAGGTGTTTCAGTTCACGTAATATATATCCGAATTATTTTAATATTTGGAAGATTTAAAGTTAGCCAGAGGTTTATGTCTGTGTAAGAAAAAAAAGTTAATACGAACAAAGCAAGCATATGAAGAGAAAACTTCTTACTATGACTAGTAATCAGCTACTAGCTAGCACACTTCACTCCAGGCATGGAAGTTTATTTTAAGTTATTAAGAACTGATGGGACTTCTCCACATCATACTGACAACAGCAAAAAATACTTAAAAAAAAGAGTCATCCATCTGATCAAACAAAAACCTCTATATATGAAGCATTCACTGACTACAGACATCTAAACTCAACTTAAATTCTTTCATAGTAAGGTCTGAATTTGCAAAACAAGTGTAATTTAATATTCTTAATATTTGTTGTAACTCAGTGTTACTTTTTTTAATTTTTAATTTAAAGATATTATGTGACAGACAAGTCACATTTAGTATGAAGGGGAAAGCTTCATTACTACTGTCTTTCCTTTTGTAAGCCAATCAAAATATTAATTTAAAATAAACTGTGTAGGAGGTACAGACTGAAAAAGGCATTTGAGACTTACGACTATTTAGCACAAATTCCATTTACAGTTTTAAGTTTGCCTTGAAATTTCTGGATCCTGGAATGATTGGTGCAGGCAGGCATCAAAGCCTTTAGTAGCAAATTACTGTCTCACAGAAAGACATTTTCAGCTTCTGCTCCAGCTGCTGATTAAAAAAAAACCAAAAAACCCCAAAAAAACCAAAAACCCAAGTCACATGTTCAGCTTGACTTCAGACAAGGGCAACCTGCTCTTTTATAACTTCTAGGGAAAAAAAAAGTTGTTAGTAGTTATTAAAAATGGATATAATGATTTGGACACAGATCCTTCGTGAAGACGTGGATGGGCTTATGCTCGAAGTCCCAGAATTAGTCCAATGTATGCTCAAAGAAAATGTTCATTTTAAATAAAGAGTAAGAAACCTATTTGTTAAAGACAGGTACTGCAGCTCACTGCTGGACCCTGCTTTTTGCCTGACTGAAGGCAAAAGCCTCTTACAGTCTAAGTAAACAAAATGAAACAAATGAAGAATACATAATTACAGATTTTCAATACCCTTCCCCAAAAATGAAAGGACCGCTGATAAATCCTGCAGCCATGGCAAAAGTTTCAAACAATTCTGAAATATGTAGGTCAGTTCCATTAAAAATCAAGTATCCTTGTTCAGTTTTTAGGAGAATAACTGTTTAAGTATCAGTGAGCTCCTCTGAATAGGCTAGAAATTAAGTTTCGCAGCAATGCAAGTTTATACGAGAAGGGAATTAGATTTGCTGTATTCCATCTCTTTCTGAACCGAACAGGAGGCACAAACCGACACTGAAAGTTTTGCCATGGACTGTCTCTACTTTCCAAACGACCGAGCGTTACCTCTCTGGCTTTTTGTGCTGCAAGTTCAGCTTGTCGCTGTCGCTCGAGTTCTTCGAGCAACTGTTTTTCCATGATGCGCTTAGCCTCCTCCACCCTGCGGAGAACCTCTCGCTCAATCTCATCCTTCCTTTTCTCCAACTCTTCTTCTACGCGTTTAGCCACAAGCTCTTCCACTCTTCGAGCAGTTTCTTCCTCTATGAGTTTCTCTTCAATTTCTTGTTGACGACTACAAAATGCAAACACAAAGATTACCTTTTTAATCAACAAAGAATGGTTGCACTGAAACAAACTCTTTCAAATACACAGCATTAGCCACACTATTGAAACAGTGTTATACCTTATACACACAGATATCATGTATTTAAACAATTTTTTGTCCTACATTTAGGGAAAGTGATTATTCAGGCAATCAGTGTTGCTACCACAGGGAACCCATTCGGACCACAGCAGATTTGGCATCTCTCCGTATCTCAGGACGACAGCTTATCATACTACTACTTGATCATTTGGGGGAGGGGGAAATAAGAAAAAAAAGACCCCACCCAGCTGTGTCCATCCTTCACTCTTCAGGAATGTAAATGGTCTCAATTTTAAGCTACATGTAGCAATAATATCTTGTAAAATCTTCACTTAAAGCCACCATCTCAGAGGCACCAAACTAATCTCTAATAACTAAAATAGAAGACAGAAGCAATAAAATTTGTAATTTGAGTATTTTAACAAGCATTCCAGGTGTTCTATCTGTAATCTAGTTATCCAATCATTTACCTTATCAAATTTCAAATACCTCAGCTCTCCGTCACTTCTTTATTGCAGCACTCTGATTCTACAGTAATTATCCAAAAATAAATATACCAATGCCAAGCGCTAAATAAATCCTTGCATTCTTTATGGTTTCCCATGTTCTGAATTTTGGAAGGACTTTAAAATGTCTTCTTGTCTTTATTTTTGTTTAGCAGCAACATTAGCACTTAGCCTGATCACTGTTTTAAGTTTTTATTAAAAAGGATACAATAAGATTAGGTCAATTTCAGGTTTATTATCAAATGAAGAAAAAAAAAATCTTCCAGGTAGCAACCACTAATACAATATGACATTTAGATATCCAAAACCCAACAAAAGTTAACACTGTATAGCTATGTTTCATATGGTACTATTTACTTAGAATTATTATGGGCTTTGGGAAGAAGGTTGTTCTTTTTAACCTTAAAATTGAACTTTCATTTTAAGTATTCTGTGAAGTACGGAACAATCTTGTAAACTTATCTTTCTGGCCTGTCAGCACCAGAAATCCATGATTTAGAATAACAACTACTGTTGTAATATCCTAATATCCTGTCATTTGCTTAACGCTTGCATTTTCTTATTGAGAGATAAATCTTATTTATATTGAGAGACATAAAAAAACACTTTAAAAAAAGTTACAGTATTAACTAACTCTTATATTTCCCAGGGTACAATTTGCAAATATGCAATTGGAGATAATAAGGTATTGACTACCCATCTAGATAAACATGTGAAATACCAAGGTGAAAGGCTCCCAAACTCCCCATTGATGTATCTTCTTTTCAGAAGTGTATTGCAACAAATGGAGAGTCTATCTCCTGATTCAGTAAAAAGTTTTGCAAGCCTCAACTTAAACATTCAGCCCCAGAAGACAAATTTTATTCTTATGTCCTCAAGAGATAGCAAATCTATCCAGCAACACATTAAGTCAGCATTCATTTTTCCTAAAGCAAGTGATTTTTTTCAGAAAAAACAAAGACAGACAACCACCACCATCCAGAAAAACACATCAACCCTATTCTGTTAAGTGTGTCGCTGATAAGCCACTACTACCCACGATCCTTTTTGGATGAAAGGTAGGGGAGAGGTCAAAAGTTTAAAAACCAAATTTTTAAACCTTTATATACTACATACCCTTTCAGTTTTAAAGGTTTTTCTTCCCTCTTATAGGTATTTATTTAGCAGCAAGCACTCTCACTGTGCTTAGCACATGTAAGAGGCTGTTCTACAGAAACCTTTTTTTCAGAAAGCTCATATTGATGTGTTTTATTCAACTATTTTAGCTTTGTGTTTAACATCAGGGAAATCTAGAATAAAAGTTAGCTAACTGAATACAGGTTAGTACATAGTTACAAAAAAAAAAGAACCCCTGACACTGAAGTCTGAAATAAGTTTTCAAATATCCTCAGTAATTAATGATGTAGTCAAATTAAGCACTGTGCCTGCACACACTTCATTGTTCTCACCCCAACAAATTCCACTCAAATTTAATTAAACCAAGCAAATATATCTTTTCACATTCTTAAGCAATGACAATATTACAAATATATAATAACTGTTCAGTGTAAGCAACCACATTTCTTGAAACGCTAGAAATAGAAAGAAGTGAAATAAAACGAAATAAAAATTTATTCTCAAAGTTCATTTACAAGACCATCTTGTGCCTACGTATGAAGGTAATATACTCAATGGCTTTTAGCTTATCAAGAAGATAAAATTATAATCACAGATATAAATCTCAATGATTTATTCTGTAGTTTATACCAACTATTCCTTGTTTTTTTTAAATCACATGAATTTACAGTATTTTGTATACAACTGTAAGCTTATCATCCTGACCTACTGAGCCACAAGTCCAGAGAAACAGATAAGTCGTTAATGTAAAATTTTTTTTAGTATGCTCCATTTACTAGTTAATTTTAGAAAATATGCAGAAAAGAAATGGCTTATATTTCACCAGATATCTGAGGACAAAAAATGTCATATTTGCAAGGCCTTTATAGGAAACTAGCATTACCAGAAAAAGCAGAAGTTAGGCTATGCTATGTATTAAGATTTCAACAGACATGAAAAGAAGAAAGTCACTTTCAATACATGAACTGTCCACTAGTTAATTCAGTCAGCAAGACTTTCTTCCCTTCACTAAAATGAGTATATACTAACATACATGTAACATCTATAACACAATTTATAGATGATTTGCTCAAATACCATAGTTTTCTACTCTGTTAAGTTTTATTGCTTTTTCTTTTTGAAATTTAAAGCATATTCTAGAAGCATCAAAATTCTATATCCAATCTTTTCCAACAGTTTCTCCCTCAAAGTTTAGTATTGTTGCCACTATCACTCAATGTCATATTCCTTGTATATGGAATATACAGATTTCATGAGTGTTTTAAAATTTCAAAGCTAACTTATATAGAAAGCTTACTGTGGAAAATAGACTTGAAATATATGTTGCTACATCTAATATTATTGAATGAACTACAGTTCATTGTTTCAATTTAAGCATTCCACAGCAAAAGAGCAATCAAGTATTTTAGTTGTATAATTCAAAGATTATAAACACTTCATTTTCCACAGGCATGTGAACAGATTCTCTCTTTCAACTTTTAAAGCCTAGACACAGACTAAGCATAAAATTCTCCACTAAGACTAACCTAATTTAATATTTTATGTTAGATAATATTTATTTTGTTATTTGTGAAATGTTCTCTCTTCAATCTTTAAATCCATTCACATAATACTTAAAATAATACATAGGAATGGAAATATCTCCGGAATACTAAGATAAACTATTCACTGTATTATCAAATTGTTAAGCACATTCCAATCCTTATTCCCAGGTATGCAGGGAATATTTTTATTATTTTAGGTACTGCATAAAACTGTAAGCCACAAAATTCGGTCAATAACTCAAAAAGCCTTCAGCATTTTCACGTGTGTTTGTGTTAGTATGCAAGTTTTTGATGACATCGCTGACAAATTCTGAAGCTGGCAAAGGAAATGATGGACAAACAAAAATAAAAGTGACAACTCAGGGTAATCAAGCCTTCTGAACTACAGTTAATATCTCATTAGAACAATATCACTGAAATAAAACTCAAAGCTCCACCTGAGAATTAACAAAACTCGTTGGCTTCACACGTACAAACAAGTGCTATTTCTGGAGTCAGTGCTCCAATAAGCAAGAGTAACATTCAAAGAACAAGAATCACTTTATCAGAACTGTTAAAACCGCTGTTAACTCCGCTGCATAGAGGCCTCTTTCATAACTCAACAATATTGCTAGGCATCTTAACGCACATCCAACGTTCATGAAAATGGAATTTACCTCCGTAGACTATATAAACAACTACATTCCCCACAACGAAAACTGAAGAAGGTTTCAAATTAAAAAAGTCACCGGATCTCACTGTCCCATTTAGCAAGAAAATAATCACAATAGAAACCCAAACCTCAGTGTTAATATAATCGTTGCATAGTATTTCTTAAAACCCTAAGTCGAGCAACTCCAGATGCCTCCACGGGACGCATAATAAGCTCCAGGCAGAAGAGGGGAGGGGCAGGCAGTGTGGCAGTGCCGCACAAAGCCTCCGGGGCGCGGAGGCCGCCGCCGC